GTAGAAATAAAATATCTCATGAAAGTTAGATGCAACAATTTGATTTTTATGTGCAAAGTTCAAAATAAAAGAAACCACTAGTTAAAAAAAGATAACAGTTCATTGTTTTATCTTTCCATTGACCCCAAAAGTATAAATGGTGAAATCTAATAAGAACAATTGCATGTTACTAAGTCAGTTTCTTTCTAGTAATTTTTTCATGTACTATATCACCGTAATAAATACTATTAGAGCAAAAGCATGATTTAACTTTGTTCTCAAAGTCCTGCTGTTATCTCAAGCTTCTAATCCACTAAATAAAACGAGTTAGAAACTCTTAATTTGGAAGTCATCAACACATTAAATGAGTCATGAGACTTTCCTCTGGACTTTGGTTATTTATTGTTGGTCTCCATTCTCCATGCATATCTTAGAATTAATGCTCATGAAATACAAAAAGAAATTATTTATTTTTATTTTATTCATTGATTGTGTGTGTGTGTGTGTGTGTGTGTGTGTGTGTGTGTGTGTGTGCAGGAGCACCCATGTGCTATGAAACACTTGTGAAGGGCACAGGAGAACTTGAGGGAGTTGGTTCTCATCTCTACCATGTGGGTCCCAATCGTGGAACTCTGGTTATCAGGCTTGGCAGCAAGTCACTTTATCTGCTGACTAGTTCGCTGGCCCCAAGAGCAATTTTTTAAAATAAGTTTTTAAGTAAGATGCAATGGGCTTATCTATGATTCAAGATGTCTTAGAAGTCATATCGAAGCAAAAGGGATGAGCTGTAGCCTCAAAAATCATGAATTAGAGTAATCTACGTGGATCTCTGGTACTTTTGTATGCAGAGGTTTTTATTTAAATCATAGTTTATAAAGGCATTGACTTGGAGGTACACAAAGACTGGTAATGAGCTGGTCTTTCATCATCTTTTACATGATTTTCATCATTTGATGCCATAGATAAAAAATTTCAGTTGGGACTTTAAACTACCTCAACAGTCTACTTAATAGGCTGAAAACTGATTTGATTTTTAAGAAAAACAATAAAAGAAAAATGAGGGAACACTGAGCTGGGTCAGCAGGTAAAGGTGCTTGCCTCCAAGCCTGGCAAACTAAATTTGAACCCTGGGTCCCACATAGTAGTAGAAAAAAACCAACTCCCAGAGATTGTCCTCAAATCTCCACACATGACCGAAGCACACTTGTACTCACCTGCCCCCTCCATATAAACATAATAATAAATAAATGTAATTTTTTAAAAAAAGAAAAGTAAAATGAAAGCCAGCCGTGGTGGCTCACACCTTTAATGCTAGCACTCGGAAGGCAGAGGCAGGAGGATCTCTGAGATTGAGGCCAGCCTGGTCTACATAGAAAGTGCTGGGACAGCTGAAGCTACAGGGAGACCCTATCTCAAAAAGGCAGAGAGAGAGAGAGAGAGAGAGAGAGAGAGAGAGAGAGAAGAAAAAAAAGAGAGAGGGAGAGAGGGAAGAAGAGAGAGAGAGAGAGAGAGAGAGAGAGAGAGAGAGAGAGAGAAAAGTAAAATAAAAGAGACACAAAACAGATCTGGCTTGCATTAAAGGAGAAGGAGCCACCCAGAGGTAAATCTATGGAACAGTTATTAAGACGTTTGGCGCATCCTCCAGGGTTTTGCGGTGTGATGAAAACTCTAACTCTTCAATTCCCAAGAGGTTCATAATTTCTCATTTCAGACAAAATGCATGAGTATTTTTATCTTGATGTTCAATAATAATTGGAAAGTCATCATCATTTTATTTGAGTAATATAAAAAAGCAAAACTTTTGTTTTTAACACTTTCTCGTTCCACAATGCATAAACTGTAGAGCATGTTTATTACTCCCCAAAGACCTATCTTCTGATTAGGAAACTAACATTCTGAATAGTGAACACATGCATCATAGAGGCCAGTATTTCTTTCCTTCTCCATTAACCCTTTCTCCTCTGCTTCCTGACCCTCCAACTCAAGTTTGTCTCTTTGGCCTTAGCCCAAATGTATAAGACCCCTTAAAATCCTGCTAAATGGGATCCTATTTCTGTTATCTCTTGTTTCACCCTAAAATATCACCACTCTGAACCTCTTAGAGAAAAAATCCTTTGTGATAACTGATTTTTTTAGATGGTTGTTGCAGTTTGTCGTTTAAACATCACACTGAAAAAAGAGAAACAAGAAATCATTTCAGACGAAGGCATTACCCTGCTATATCAGCCAGTAGTTGTCCCACAAACACGGTGAATGTTCTGAAAACTAAATGGAATTTTGGTAAGACGTGGCAAGACACAGCTTCATTTTCTTGGAGCACTGAATGTTTTACAGACTTGATAACCAAGGAGCCTAACTGTTAGAACTATGTAAAATAAGAGGAAGTAGGGAGTGAATGATGATCTGTATTCACAGCGAAGGGCTGATTTTAGTTGAGGCTGATGGCATCGGTTTTTATGTTACTGTGATTTCCCGCTAGGTTCACATTTGTATGTATTTTGATGTTGCACTGGATTCTGATTCGGTAAGGCAATGCCAAATGAGAAATTACACACCTGAGAATGGTTAAACAGAGACATTTTTAAGTGTGAAGAAGTACCTGATGCTCAAATAAGTACACGCATGAAATGTCCTCAGACTTCAGATTGGAGGGCCTAAATGAACACTTTTGAGGACACCATTCTATCATGATTTCCTACTCCACTATTTGAAAAAAAAAATTGAGGCCAAAATGATAAGCACTTTTCAATTCTCTGAAAAATGGCAGTTTTTATTCAATACAGAAGAGCAAAGGGTTAATTGTTAGTTTTGTCAAATGCAATCATAAACCTCCTGAGACCAGACACATTGTAATAGTTTCTAATTAAGGAATTTTGTATTTGTAGAAGTATATAAAGATTTGACATAGATTAAGGCGGGCTTAGTGATGCACACCTTTAATCCCAGCACTCAGGAGGCAGAGGCAGGTGGATCTCTGTGAGTTCAAGGCCAGCCTGGTCTACATAGCAAGATCTAGGCCAGTCAAAAAGACAAAGAAAAGATTTGACATAGATTAAGACACTTATATATTTAGAGAAACGCTATAGTATTAGAATATGAGTGAAGTTTTTAAAAAATTTGAAGTTTTTTTGTTTTTATTGAATTTTTGTGTATTTCATATAGAACATTTTGATCATCTTTATACCCTCTTCCCCACTGGCACCCTCCCATCACCCCCTCTGGATTCATGCATTCTGTCATTTGTGTTAAGGCCTATCGAGTCAAGTTAGTGTCCCCAGACATCCCTCAGTGTGAGTTCATCCACTGAGGTCTAGTCAGCCTGTCTGGATTCTCTCCCTTTAAGAAGATCAGCTTTTCCTCACCTAGTAATCTGCAGCCAATAGTTCTTCGGTTAAGACTGGGGCCTGCTGCCCATTTCCACAGTTCTATGAAGTTTTTTTTAAATTGCATAATCATTGGACCTTTTGTTAGTATTTTAGTCGAAATTAGATAAGCACAAGAGAAAACTCAAGAAAAAATGTAATGCTCAATTATCTGTTAGTAACAAAACACCTTGGGATTTAGTGGTTTAAAAATACCAATAATTCACTGTTTCTGACTATTGTGGCTGATGCCTCTGCTGGTTTTGCTGAGGTCATTTATGTGGTAGTAGGCCTAAGGCTCAGCCCCACTGGAGCTATTGTTTGGGGATGCCTCACTTCTGCTTTATGTGGTCTCCCTGCTTGGCTAGTTCAGGATACCTCTCTATATAACCTCACAAGGCAGCTCCCCCAAAGCTGGAGGATTGGCAACTAGGAGGAAATAGGGAACCGAAGACCTAAAAGCAGAGCTGAGAAATTAGAGAAGCTACCAATCCAGTTAGTTTAGAAAGCTAAGGACATCCAATCACTGAAATGAGACCACAAAAGAGAGACTGGTGGAAAAGTCTGGAGTTCTGCAGCCAGGGGTGTGGATGGATCGGGATCCTTAGAGTCAGAAGGTTAATTGTCGGAAAGAACTGGATTTAGCATGAAGCAGAAGGAGGACACGCTGCGACCTACCAACATCCCAACTGCCATTCACAAATAACCACCACACTGTTCCAGCTTCACTAAGTTGCAAGAACACAGCGTGTTAGTTGCTCAAAATATTTAATTTTATGGAATGGAATGAATCTATTATTCTTAAACCAGAAATGCAGGAATTATAAAACAATTCTCTAAACATTATATACACACCCACGCATATACTTTATAGTTTTGTTGTTAATGTTTTCTTTGAGACAGGGTCTCAGTATGTAGTCCTGGCTGGCCTGGAACTCACTATGTACACCAGGTTGACCTCAAACTCACAGAGATCCACTTGCCTTTGCCTCCCACCACACATCTGTTTTGTATTAGAAGTGCTGAGGAATATTGCATATTAATAGTAGTAAATAGCAAAGTAATAAAGTCTTGTTTGGGGGTTTGTATATTTAATCTTCCCTTTAAAAAATTCTATTGCTAGTGAGAGTTAAGCCAGGTCTTTCACACAATTTGTCTTGAAGATGTTCCTGTTAAGGAAGACCTAACCATGGGGCTGGAGAGACGGCTCAGCAGCTAAGAGCACTGACTGCTCTTGCAGAGGATCCGGGTTTGATTCCCAGCACAGGAAATATTTTTGAAATTTGTACTCACAGTTGGGAGCATCATCCCATTTAACTATAAATTGTTTGCAACTTGGCATTCAAAACAAAAAAAAAATGTTTGAGAAATTATATGTTTAGTTATTATAGAACTTTCTTTTTGAGTATTATTTGCTGACAAAACTGCTTTAAAAACAAAGTGGAATTTGTTACTGTTGCTGTGATGAGAGTTTGCCATTCTCTCCTTTTTGAAATTCTTCAACCTACAAAAGTTTTTCAGGGTAATCATGTTATTTTTCAAAGAAAGTAATGCTAATAAAAAATAAAAAATAAAAAACAAAAACAAAGCTTCTCAAAGTAAAAAAAAAAAAAAAACCTATGCTTTCTTATTGTTTGATACTTTCTTTGTTAACTTTAGAGTCCTGAACGAAGCCATTTTGTCTTAATTGCTGGGGAGCCGCTAAGAGAACCAGTTGTTCAACATGGTAAGGCCTAAATGAGGATTTTTCCTGGCTGACTTCCTTTTCCTTAGACAATTGTGTACATATGTATTATCACTAGGAAGACTGGTTGGGTTTCATTTCTCCATTGTCAGAGGAAAATGCATGTATGGTGTTTATTCCTGAATTCATTCCTTTAAGTATTTGTCATGTGTAAGGCATTGATCTTAGATCTGTGGGACAAATAACTTTTTTATTGTGTCATGGGAGATTAAAAATTGAAAAAAAAGATTTTGTTGTCTACCAAGGACCTGGATACCATTTTCATTTTTAGCCAAAATAACAGTGGTTTCACTACTGTCTTAGTGTATTTTCTGTTGCTATAACTGGACACATGAGACTGGGTAATTTATAAAGGAACGAGATTTATTATGAATGACAGCATTTGAGACTCTAAACTACAAAAATATGGCACCATCAAGGGCCTCATGTTGCTTCACTGCATGACAGAACGTAGAAAGGCAAGAAGGTATATGGAGAAGAGACAAAACATGAAGAGTGTGTTTGCTGTGTAATAATTTCCTTCTACAGTAATTAAGAGTAAGAACTTGCCCACTGTAAAAAACCTTAACCCCTAATGGGCTAATATCCTCTTAAAGGCCACACCTCCCAATACTGCCACTGTGATAGCAGATTCACATTTCAATAAGAATTAAGCAGCCTGGCGTAGTGGCACACACCTTCTTTAATTCCAGCACTCAGGAGACAGAGGCAGGCTGTGACATTGAGGCCAGCCTAGTCAGCATAGTGAGGTCCAGGCTAACTGTGCTGTGGCTACAGGGAGAGACCCTATATCAAAAAAGACCAAAAGAAAAGAATTATGGAGGGGAAAACCAATATTCAAATACTATCCTTGTAGTCTATTGTATTTTAGTGAAAATATGAACATTTATGAACAATATTTCTTTGAAAGTATCTACAGTAGTTTAAATCATTGTTTGTTTTCAAGAAATGACTATAAAACTAGGCTTGGTGGTGTGCACCTTTAATCCCAGCACTGGGGTAGCAGAGGCAGGCAGATCTCTGTGAGTCCAAGGCCAGCTTTCTCTATGTTAGTGAGTTCCAGGCAGGCTAGGGCTACTTTGTGAGACCATGAGGAAAAAAAGAATAGAGAGGACTGGAAAGGCCACACATCAGTTAAGAGTACTTGATGATCTTGTAGAAGACCTGAGTTCAATTCCCAGCACCCACATTGGGTGGTTCAAAACCATAGTGGATCTGATGCCCTCTTCTGATCTCTGCTGGTACTGCACTCACATACACCCACACACAGACATATAATTAAGAATTAAAATAATTAAAAATTAAAAGTGATTATTGCTTAAATAATGCTTCAAATTTTAACTCAAAAGGTTCATTGTCTTCGGTTCCTTTTTGTCTTTACCTAGCACTAACAAATTAAATTTCTCTTTCGGAAGAAGGCAGTAATCAAATCTAGTAGGAGCAGCATCTAGTCACAGGCTGGAATAATTAAAAAAATAAAAATAAATCTCTTTTTTTAAAGAGGAAAAGCACATAGAGGTAATTAAGGTGTGGTTGAAAGCAAAAAATCCTGGTATAAAAACGCAATCACTTCAACTCTTAGAATCTTGACTTTCTTGTGTCACTGGCATTTAATTAAATGAGAAACATCTTTTTCTGTTCTTTTTTTTATTGAACTTTTGTGTATTTCATACAGAACATCTTAATCATCTTCTCCATTGGCACCCTCCCATAGCACCCCCCCCCCAGAATTTATACATTCTGTCATTTGTGTTAAAGCGCATCATGTCAAGTTAGTATGCCCAGATGTCCCTGCAGTGCAAGTTCATCCACTGAGGTCTAGTCAGCCTATGTAGAGTCCTTCCCTTTAAGAAGATCAGCTCTTCCCCACCCAGCAGTAATCATCTAAAAGCACCTAGAGCGGATTTGTTATTTGGATCTATTTCTACAAAACATAGTGTGTACTCCACTAATTATTAAATTAAACCTGACCCAAGATCCCACTGTATTACATTACCTTGAGTGAAATCCCAGGAATACACAGTGATTTCAGATAAGACCCAGCTAGTCATAAATGTAATGATATTGATTATTTTCAAAATATGATTTTTTGTTTCGCCAGTAAGGGGAGTAATAAATCATACCTCCTAACCTGTAGTATTGCATGTTAATTTTTCACGCTTCAAATTTTTACTCCAAACACTCATAAACCTTGCTTCCTTCATGTCTTGACCTGTCAGTAATGAATTAAATTGTTCTTTGGGAAGAAGGCTGCAACCAAATGCAGCAGGATCATCATCTAGTTACAGACTGGAATCATGTAGGAAAAGGGTATGCAGGATCAAAATCTTTAATGTTAGACTACTTCTTCCATAGCAGTGATGAAAAATTAGAGTTCAGCTGAATGAAGATTAAAGAACAAAGTGCTACCCAAAGCCTCCCTATACTTGTGCATGTGAATCCCCTTCTAGTTGCTTGGAACACAAGGACAAATGGCTATACTTGCAAACACAAACTCAGGTTAACCAGACAAAATAGATAATGTCTCTTGAAATATCAGCTACTGAGAAACAAAGTATTTTATTTTGTTTTTTTTTTTTTACAGTATTTGTATTTTTTCAGCCTCAAAAAATAGAACTTAAAGGCAGCCACAATTACCTTGAAAGTATTTGTGGACTATCTCTATTTTCATGAATTAGTAATGTCCTTCTCTTCTTGTCATTGGGTGCTCTTAGTGATGCATCTACGCTTTAGGCATGGATGTCATAGAGTGTTGGAATAGAAAATGACCTTACCTGTGATGGAGTCATGTCCCATTTATCTATGAGGAAAACAACATTCAGATATTTTATTTCTGTAACAGATGCATTTTTAGCATTACAGTTAATATAGTATTGCTCTGTTTTCCAAGTGTTAATTAATTTAATCTTCCAAATAACCGTGTGAGGTCAATACTTTCATCATCAGAACTCCATTGGCTTGTTCATGGCCACAGAGTGGATTTACACCCAGACAGTCTGGTTTCCAACCAGCCTGATCTTTTGCTCATAAACATGTCAGCTGCCCCTGGCTTTTACCTGTGGCCTCTCTGCTGGGAAAGGATTATTTTAATGGACCTGGAATTTGAACCATCATCACTTGACCCTGTGTCTAGTGCTCTCTATCCTATAATAAGATTCTACATAACAAGAAATGAAACTCCTACCCCCATAGGATTTAAAGTTAGAATGCCTTCTCTTTTAAAAAATATTTTATTGAGTTTTTGTGTATTTCATATAATGGTTCTTAATCAAATTTAGACCTCCTCCCCCTATTACTTTCTCTTCTTAGAGAAAATATGCAAATTGTAGTTTGAGGGACCAGTTATAAGATTATTGGTCGTTTTCTTATTGATAACTACTTTAGTTGATAAATTGAAAACATACACTCTGGTCAACCTACCACCAAAAGGTATTTGGAGACACAAGTTTGAATCAAGATAATATATATTTATTATATATAAGTATTGTGTATAATATGTATTATAATGTGTATTATATAATATATGTGTATT